ATCCCTAACGGTCTGGGATTCTGTGATTAGGCTAACAGAAGTTCTTCAGAGTAGACCTAGCCTCTGATACTGAAATCTGAATAGAATTTTTAACACAGAGGGTTACTAGTTCTCTGTCACAATAAACCTTTAAGAAGAGATGCACAAGTCTTCAATCAGGGATCTAAATGAGAAAAATCCAAATCTGTAATGCTAAGCATTTTTAAGTCAAAGAAAACCTTCAAGAACAGGTTCATGTCTTTACGATAAAGAAGCATAAGGACTCCTCTTTTCCATTTTCAAGTATATGGAGCTCTCAGTTTCCTGAGTAAAATGTGCTCCCTACCTTAACAAAGCGGTATCAATCGAAAGAAAGAAAGAAGACACAAGTCTGAAGCCTGTAGAATCCCACTATTAAACATGACTAGTAGAAAAACAACAACAAAAAAGTACTTCATTAACTGCCTGCCCCCTGCTCCACTTCAAAAAGGAAAGGAAAAAAAGAGAGCGTATGAATACCAGGGTTTGCTTACCTCTCTGTCAAATCTTCCAGGTCTTCTCAGCGCAGGGTCTAAGGCATCAGGCCTGTCTGTGGCTGCCACAATGACCATCTTACCCTCACTACCTACACCATCCAGTAGTGTTAGCAACTGAGCAACAATACGATCTTCAGGAGCATTGTTTGAGCTTCCTCGCTTTGGGCCCAAAGAGTCAACTTCATCAATAAAGAGAATGGTTGGGCCTTCATGTGACATTTCTCTGGCCTTTTCAAAGACTCTTTGTAAATTTTCTTCACTTTCTCCTGGTCTTGAGCCATACAGGGCTGCGCCACTGATGCAAACCAGATATGCACCCGCTTCTTTTGCTACTGCTTTTACCGTAAGAGTTTTCCAAAAAAAAGGGCCTATTAATAGCACCCCATTAGGGACAGAAAGCCCAAGCTTCTTAAAAGTTTTCGGGAAGCGGAAAGGCAGATCAATCATTTCTTTCAAAGATCTTCCCACGTCATCTAGCCCTGCAATTGAAGTTTTTGCAGGGTCTCCTGATGAATGTCTGTACCATTCAGAAGTGACCACCTCCGTAATTTTTATGCTTGTTTGGGGGGCTATCAGTCCAGCTTCATCCATCAAAATGTCTACAGACAGCATTTCAATATACACCACGGGACTGTTGAGATTTGCGGCAACAGTAACAACATAATTACATGAAACATAAACATTTCTTAGCAGTTCTCTAATCAGCTCCTGCAACACTGCTCTGGGAGTCGACTTTTTCAGTGCAGAGTTCTTAACGACCACTCTCACAGCTGCCTTTTTTAACTGGCGAGAAGGCAGAAGCTTCAGCTGGCCGACACTCAGCGTGAGGCCCCGCAAATCCCTCGCAGTCACACCGGCGGTTCTGCAGCTCAGATCAACCTGCAGGTACCCGTCCGCCAAATCCTGCCTGGGCCACGCTGTGCACAAACAGTAGCCGGTCGGCAACGCGACCCTCAGCGGAGCGCCGATCCTGGCTCCCAGGCAGCCGAGGGTGGCAC